ATTTCTTTGTGGTTCTCGAATCTGATTGGCTGATAGCTGTGATATATTTAAGTAATATCAGCACCCATACAGCCTCTTTACCCTTTGTGTATTACTCCGCCCACATGCAGCCAGCAGAAAGCAGACACTACAGATCTACAGTGTAAAAGATGCTTGCTCAGCTGTTTAACTGTCAGCTCATGATTTGAATCCAACGCGGAAGAAAGTAGTTCCTCATACAAAAGGGTTTTAGAGACTCTCCATGTTTGATTTTGTTTTTATATACACAATTATGCCGTCAAACTGTTGTATAAACGCAATATCACACGAGTAGCTATGCGATATGGCTGTATATCGGCACTGGTGGGGGCACTAATCTATTACACTAGCTATAGGCACTAAGCAACGCACGCCTCCCACCAGTGCTGATATACAGCCATATCATACTGCTACTCGTGTTATATTGCTCATAAATATATATGACACACACACACACACACACACACACACACACACACACATTAGTTCATGTTGTTCTGAGTGTACAATGTTTTCAGTAAGCACTATAAAACGCTTCACTCTTTCAGTGGTGATTTGCATTGGTTTACATTCAGCATGGCTGAAAACATGGCGAAGCGTAGATGTCATGGCAAAAGCAGGACTGTTTTCATCCTCAGTGTCCACAATCTTTAGTCAAATCCAGTCCAGCGGTGTTCGAGCATGTGCTGATAGATGGTGAAAAGCACAGAGGTCACGAAAGCTCTTCAGTTTCTCCTTTCTGCTGCCGCATGGATCTTACATAACTCCAATACTGCAGTTCATCATCAGCCTCAACTTCAGAAAGATGCAGATTTCTGCAGATACACTCAAACTGGGTTGCCAGGTCCATGAAAACCTGATGATGACAAAACAAAACCTGCCTAAAAGGAGAAAAAAATATTTGTTCGTCTGGAGAAAGTCTTATTTGTTTTATTTCGGCTAGAATAAAAGCAGTTTTTAATAGTTTTAAAGCCATTTTAAGATCAATGTTATTAGCTCCCCAACTGACCCACCCGGGACTCGAACCAGAGACCTTCTTGCTGTGAGGCCACCGTGCTAACCATTGAGCCACCATGCAGCCTAATACATTTATTAAAACATTCTTTGGGCTGCTGCTGAGAAAAAAAAAAGTAAAATACTATACACGTCCCACAACTTCATATTTAAAACACGTAAATATTCCAATTGTGTAGGAAAGCTGCAACCCTGGCAACCCTGCACTGTAATGATGTGGACACTGAGCTGCTGCTGTCTGAAAATAAAGAGTAATCACAATTTTTTGTTAATAATAGAAGTGCTTTAAATAAATGGTGTCAGATCATGTATTATCATATTCACAGTTTGCATCTATTACGATATGATTATTCGTGTACATCTGTGATTATTATTTTTGTTTTTATTTCCTTCTAGATGTGAGAAAGAAGCACACATTTAAAGAACTTTAATATTTGGTCACACTTTATTATTGTTTAATATTTAGTTCAATTCTGGCTATCATTAAACCATTAACCTGGACTTTTAGCTAATTAAACTCATAGTTTGCTGCTTATTAATAGTTATTAAGGTAATAAGACACAAGATCATAGTGAGAATTGATACTTAATCTAAAGTTTCACCAATATCACATATATCTGAACATGCAGCTCAACTCCTTGTTCAAGCTCTTGTTCTCTCCAGACTGGACTATTGCAACACCTCTCTACTAGCCGGGCTTCCAGCTAACTCTATCAAACCTCTTCAGCTGCTTCAGAACGCAGCAGCACGAGTGGTCTTTAATGAACCTAAAAGAGCACATGTCACTCCGCTGCTCATACGTTTGCACTGGCTGCCAGTTGCTGCTCGCATCAAATTCAAAGCTCTGATGTTTGCCTACAAAGCGACTTCTGGCTTTGCTCCTTCTTATCTGCTCTCACTTCTGCAGATGTATGTGCCTCCAGAAACTTGTGTTCTGTGAATGAACGTCGCCTCGTGGTTCCATCCCAAAGAGGGAAGAAATCACTTTCCCAAATCTGTTCAAAGCTCTTAAAGTTTCTGCATGTGTGAAACTCTAGTTTAGTAAATGCACTGAGCAGATGTGAATTGTGTGTGTGTGTGTGTGTGTGTGAGAGTGTGAGACAGTCTCAGATGTTCTCCAGGTATTTTGTTACCCAGATCAAGAGCAGTCTGAAGTGCAGAGAAGATTAATGTGTGACTGCAGTGATAGTGTTGAAACTGAAGAGTGTCTCCTCACCGCTTCATTAAAGTCAGCTTCTCACCCTGAGATTGTTCACTTATGTGTATTTCTATGGCACTAGAGTTTTTACAGTTTAGTGCCCTTAATCCAGTGATGCCGCTCTGGCCTGTTGTTAATACGTGCTTCAGCCTAGATTTTTGTGCCACCTCTAAAACATACTTCAACATAATGAATCCAGTTTTTAGGTGAACTGAACACCAGGGGGCAGTATGACGACAACAACGTTTGTTCCTTTTCACATTAATGATATTTACAGGCACATATTATTGATCAATATATGATTATTTTCATGCATCTCTTTGCAAAAAATAAAAATAAACACCACAAACCAACTGATGTCTATGTGTCACCTATTGACATACGGTTATGTTTTCTCTCATGGTCGGGTGTTGTGATTGAATCTAAAATATGTCACCTAGGGTGTGTTTTGTTGTACGCTTCAGATGATAAATCTACTAGAGGGCATTTTTGTGAATTTGAAATTTGTTTTTAGGGTATGCTTTGTAGACAGCGCCCTCTAGTGGATGTGTCATCTAAAACATACGACAAAACACACCCTAAATCATATTTCAGATTGGTAAAAAATGTAGACAGCGCCCTCTAGTGGATTTGTCATCTGGAACATACAACAAAACACACCCTAAGTTATGCATTTTAGATTTGCAAAAATGTAGACAGCGCCCCCTTGTGGTTTATCCTCTGAAATGTGCAACAAAACAGTCAGTGTTTCCCAAACCTGTTCCTGAAGGCACACCAATAGTAAAATTTTAACCTTTACCTATTCAAACACACCTGAATCAACTCATCAGAATATTAGAGAGACTCCTAACCTGAAATGTATGGGTCAGAGAAGGGAGACATCCAAAATATGTAGTGTTGGTGTGCCTCCGGGAACAGGGTTGGGAGACGCTGCTCAAGGTAACGCATTTCAGATTGTCAAAAGTGTACACAATGCCCTCCGGTGGATTTATCATCTGAAACGTACAACAAAACATACCCTAAATAACGTATCTCAGATTGGCAAAAATGTAAAAAAGCGCCCTCTAGTGGATCTGTTGTCTAAAATGTCTATTGAAACTTACCTTGAACAATGTATTTTAAGTTTTGCTAAAATGTAGACAGTGCCCTCTAGTGGATTTGATATCTCAATCTAAACAAAACATACCCTAAATAACGTATTTTGGATTCTCAAAAATGTATACAACGCCCTCTAGTGGATTTGCCCTCTGAAACGTTCAACAAAATGTACCCTATATAACATATTTTAGATTGGCAAAAGTGTAGACAGCGCCCTCTATTGGATTTGCCATCTAAAACGAGACAAAACACACCCTAAAGAAGGTATTTCAGATTTACAAAAATGTAGACAGCGTCCTCTAGTGGATTTGTCATCTGAAACGTACAAAAAAACATACCCTAAATAAGCTATCTCAGAATGGCAAAAATGTAGAAAGCGCCCTCTAGTGGATCTGTTGTCTAAAATGCGTATTGAAACTTACCTTGAACAATGTATTTTAAGTTTTGCAAAAATGTAGACAGTGCCCTCTAGTGGATTTGCTATCTGAATCGAAACGGAACATACTCTAAATAACGTATTTTTGATTCATTAAAATGTGGACAGTGCCCTCTTGTGGATTCGTCATCTGTAACGTGCAATGAAGCATACCCTAAATAAAATATTTTGGATTCTCAAAAAATGTACAGGGCACCCTCTAGTGGATTTGCCATCTGAATTTTACAACAAAATGTACCCTAAGTAATATATTTTAGATTTTAAAAATGTAGCCAGCGCCCTCTAGTGGATTTGCCTTCCTATACGAAGCAAAACACACCCAAAATAACGTATTTCAGATTAGCAAAAATGTAGACAGCGTCCTCTAGTGGATTTGCCATCTGAAATGTACAACGAAATGTACCAGGAGAAATGTTTTCAAAAAATTTGACTGAGGCACGTATTTCCAGTGAGTCGGAGCTTCAAATGTGAAGCATGGAGCTGTAAGTAATGTGTTGTTGTATGTGAGTGATCATGCTGTGTGTGTGTGTGTGTGCAGGTGTAGATCCGTCTCTTCAGATCGATCACAGGATTCAGTCTTCAGCACCGGCGGCTCATCCGGCCTCCAAACACAACAAACCTCGGCTGGCCAACTCCAGGGATGAGCGCTTCAGATCAGGTGCTTCCACATATCTGCTTTTATGGACATTTCGGAATTATGCACAAAAATTCCACTGAGTACAATACATATTAGCAGGATTCTATAAAAGTATTCATGATGTATTTTAATATACCTTAACTTTATCTTAAGATAGTGATTTCAAACACACACACACACACACACACACACACACACACACACACACACACACACACACACACACACACACACACACACACACA